CGGCGGGGGACCTGGCGGGGGCGAGGGGGGCGAGGGGGTCCCCGCCCAACTGGGGGGGCGGGAATTGGACCGGGGACACTCGGCAGGAGTTTCCTCTTGGGCTGACTTGGGATGAGGCGGAAAAAGAGAGGACGGTTGCGGGGATGGGGGGCGTCCAGGTGACCCCAGCCCTGCGGGATCCTGGGTGGGGTGCGACAGGATTCGGAGGTCAGGGGCGCCGGCCAAGTCCGGGTCCTGCCGCCGGTGGTGCTTCCCTGGGGGTAGAGGCAGAGATGCGAGTGGATGCCTCTGGGAGGCCCCTGTGACGGACAGACACTCGTCATTCCCGTGCAAACCTACCCCCTGGAAATGTTTCAAACAGGTCTGCCAAGGAGAATCGCTAATCTTTAGAAAGAGGGTCACCAAACCCCACAAGGTCCAGCCAAGAGAGCATCCTTTGGAGCCTGTGCCACCTGACAGAAATGTCGGGCTCCATCTTAACCCACCCCTTCCCCTGCCTGAGTGGCGTGTGGGGACCAGCCTCTGTGTCCCCCCCACCCCCCCGGACAGGCCTGGCACAAGGTAGGCCACTGGTGGCGTAAAGGATGGATTTGAATCCTATCGGGCTTCTCAACCTTCAGGACCTATCTCAACACCCAGCTCTAAGCAGACAGACAGCCCTTCCTTGCCAATCCTGCCCACTCTGGGGACATCTGCAGGATTGAAGTGGGGCTGCTCCCTGGAGGCCACCCTCAGACTTCACTGCCCTGAGCTCTCCACCTCCACTCTCACACTTGAGCTCAGCCCACACTCACCGATGGCCCCTGGGCTTCCCTCCTCTTCTCCCCACACATCCCTTAATCCCTTTGGAAGCTACTGGGCCTTCCCCCACTTCCCAGTCCTCCCAGTCTGCCAACAGTTTCACTGGTTGAACTGTGGTCCCAAACCAGACTGACCCAGCAGTGCACCTCATGAACTCCTTCCACGCCCCTACGGCCAGAGAAAGTCCAGCACAGTCATACTGCCTGGCCACACTGGCCCTGTACTGCCAGTGTCTTCCATCCACAACCCCCTGCCCCCTGCCCTCTGCCCCCAGCCAGCCATTCGAACATGTCCCCTGGAGGATGGGAGTCATCCCAAACATGTGCCTGGAGCTTGTTTTTCTGCCTCTGAGAACCCTTCCATGAAGGCAGCATCTTGTCTTTCGGGGGGGGGTCCCTCTCTGCCAAGGCTGCCTTCACTACCTGTGTCCCTGTCCCCTATTCTTGCCTCCTAGTGTTGCCTGCAGGGACCTTTCCCCTGCCTCATTGTGAGGCAGCCAACCCTTCTCTGTTCCCTCCCATCCACTGCAGATTTTAGCTCTCTGGATGAGAGTCACTGCCTTGTCTGGCTCCACTACTGGGCAGTGAGTTCCTTGAAGGTGGAGAGTCTCTGTCATTCATCTTTGGTGGCTAAATACCAAATACAGTAAGCAGCTGTAGGATGCAGGTGGGAGGACAGGCCCGCCCACACTCTGTATACTGTCTTCATCAGACCTGTAGCTCAATTCTCTTATATATGGGGGCAAGGTGTCATTTCCAAATTATGACATTTTCAGTTATGTGGAGCTAACTGAAAACTTATATATGGGGGCAAGGTGTCATTTCCAAATTATGACATTTTCAGTTATGTGGAGCTAACCAATGGAGTGTTTAGTGAGCAGCATTTCTCTGAATTCTCCCCAAGGGAAGGGACGTTTCAGTGCTTGAATGCAGCGCTGCTGGCTGCAGATGTGGGTGAGGAGATGTGACCCAGATCCCAAGTTGGAATTCCTATAAAGACCTGTTAATTGGCATTCCCTGGCAGAAATAGCACAGAACTGTTCCCTGAGGATCCTGTTGGCCAGTAAAAGCTGTGCCCTGCAGCCTGGTTGTGAGCAAAGAGGAAGGCACACCGAGAACCTTTCCCCACCTCTAGCACCCTTCTAATGATTGTTGAACCCTTCTAATGATTGCCATGGGTGGATTAAGTTTGGGGCATTTCCTCCGCTGCTGACGCTGGTAAACATCGCCTACCCAAGCCATGATCCCTAGGACCTAGGAACACTGATTTGTTTGTAATAGCCTTCAGCAGGCTTTCCATGTGGCCTTTGTGGGCCTAAATGTAAAAGTTACCATCTGATGCCAAGAAAGCTGCAAGGTGCCTGTGCCCTTGAGGCACGCCCCGCAGATTAATTAGAGCTGGATCCTATGTGTCGCACATGCTGGCCCCTTAGCTACATAAGACCACCAGTCTCCTATTTAGATTAGTGGAGATTCGGATTCGAATTCACAAATCTGGACAGATAGTCCTTCTGATGTTCAGTCCATGTCATTGTCAAACCAGATCCTACCAGGGATGACTCCAGGGGCCTCCAGTTTCTGTTTCTCCTTAAAATATGCTCACATCAGTTAGTGGATTTAGTTTTCCATTTTGCTAAAGGTTTCCATTGCAGCCTGGATGTGGCTTTACTTTAGTTGTATAAACCAAGTATTGTTTTAGGATGAACTGTACTGATTAAAATTTAAGTTGGATTTGAGAAACTAGTGGCTACTAGGAAATGTTTATTCTGTGGATGGCACCTGGACATTTAGTGAAGTTTTGGGTGTTCGGGTTCATTATCTTGTTCAAAGATCCTGTAGGTGGGACTATCCCCATTCTGAAGATGAGGGAGGGAAGTCAGAAAGGTCAGGTGTCCTGCTCAGAATCACATAGTAAAGTCCAGGTTTCCTAACTTTAGATCCTAGGCTCTTTCTAAATGCTACAGCCCTCTGTTCCTTAAAGATAGGTGCAAATCGGAGGATTCAGTGGGTACTTTGGGTCAACCTTTGAATTCCATTCACCAAGAGCCACACCTCAGTGGAGTCTCTCTGAGCAGCAGGAGGCCCGATTCCAGCTTTGCTGAGAAACAGCTTTGCTGGGAGGTGCCTGGTGATGCTCGCCTGACCCTTCTCTCCTGCAGGTGGTCCTCATGTTCTGGTTTGGGGACTGAGTCAGAGACCAGGGCCCCACATGGCTCCCTTTGACCCCATGGCTCCTGTATAGGGTGTCCACAGCAGGCCCTGGGGAAGGTTCAATGGGCTTGGAGTCGGGACCACAGGAACCCGCTAGGATGCCTAAGCACGTCTCTCCCTGCCCCCAGCCTGGCTCCCACCATGAGCACTGAGCTCAACGTGCCTGTGGACTCCTCCACTTCTGCCTGCTCTGAGCCCTGCCACAAGGGCATGGATTACCGGGACTGGGTCCGCCGCAGCTATCTGGAACTGGTCACCTCCAACCACCACTCGGTGCAGGCCCTGTCCTGGAGGAAGCTCTATCTGAGCAGGGCCAAGCTGAAGGCCTCCAGCAGGACCTCAGCCCTCCTCTCAGGCTTCGCCATGGTGAGTGCAGGCATGGGGGGAGGGCCAAGCAAGGTCAAATGGGCTTTGCTAACTGAGATCCTGGGGTGCTTCAGGGAGCAAAGCACTCCCTCTACCTGCTGGCAGCCAGGATGGACCATTGGGGAGTGTCTGCCCCTGTCCCAGCTCCTCCAAGAGGACTGCTGTGTCAATAGAGGAGTTGCTGGCCCTGAGCTCCAGAGTCATCAGAAAGCCTGCTCTCTCCTGTGCACATAAAGTATGTGCTTGGCAAGGAGGTTAGTGGGGGTAATCAAAATATCTTTGGTGTACAGGGTTTCCTGGGGAAAGGTGTCCACATCTACCCCATCTCGGACATTCCACAAAAGTTTGGAAACCTGAGGGATTTGAGCAGGGACTTAGGGATTGATTAGGGTTTGCTAAGTTTAGCCAAGTTGGGGACGCAGGCGCTCCCTGAACGTGGGGCCTCCAGGATGCCGAAGCAGAGCTTTTGGCCTGGCTCCCACCTGCCACTTTCCCTCTGAGTCATCCCCAAGGACAAGGGTCAGTCTTAGACCAAAGCCCCCGCCCTGAAAAGGGGCTCATCTCCTTTGACTCCAGAGTCCCCAACCTGCATCCCAGAGGGTGAGGATGCCAGGACCCAGAGCAGGAATACAGAGAACACTCAAGTGTGCAGCGGCCTCTGTGTCATGTGCTCAAAGGTCCTGCTGGGCTGGAAGCGATGTCCTTCTTTATGTGAAAACAGTTGTTTTTCTTTTTTTTTTTTTTTGTCTTTTTCGTGACCGGTAAGGGAATCGCAACCCTCGGCTTGGTGTCGCCCACACCACACTCAGCCAGCGAGCACACCGGCCATTCCTATATAGGATCCAAACCCGCGGCGGGAGCATCACTGCACTCCCAGCGCCACACTCTCCTGAGTGCGCCACGGGGCCGGCCCGAAAACAGTTGTTTTTCTATAGCCCAGAACTCAGTTGTCAAATTGGTAGCACAATTTAAAATAAAAGGCTGTCAGAGGGATCCACTTTGGCCACAGGGGCCTGCTCACTCGTGGGTATGAGCCACCCTTGGAAAAATGAGAAATTCAGAGAGGACAAGACTTTGTACCGGGCGGGGCAGAGGTCACCTGACTTGGAGGGCAATAAATTTGTGTTTAGGTCTATAGTTTAAAGCAAAGTCTTTAAACTTTTTTTAGGTCTTGCGTTTTATTTTTTTCACATAATTGCAAAAGTATATGATCATGTGGTACACAACTTTGGCTCACAATCATTTTCTTCCCATGGTTTCCATCACATTACAAAGACAGAATATTTTCTCAAGCTTAATTTTAAAGAATATGTGTGAGAAGTTTAGATATCATTATTAAAACTGGAACTTGTTTTCTATACCACAGAAGAATTAATTACATTATCACGTAAAATTTTTCTGGCCTGTGCTCTTTTTTTTTTAAGTTTGGAAAACTAAGAAGTATTACAGGACTTATTAATAAGTGAGATGGTTTCCTCTCTGTGTGGGGCCTGGATCTTGGAATCACTTCCTGCCTGCAGCTGTTTCTTAGACCCTGGCTTTCCAAACATTTGGTTTTCCAAACTTAGGACTAAGTTTCACGGTTTTTCAGCCAACAAAATGCTCCCCCAAGTTGAAGACTTCAAAGTCACCAATTGAAATGTGAAAACAAGGAGCTGGCCGGTTAGATCAGTTATTTAGAGCATGATGTGATGACACCAAGGTCCAGGGTTTGATCCCTGTTACCAGCCAGCGGCCAAAAATATATATATATAAAATAAAATTTGAAAACAAGCCCTGTGAATAAAGTTGTGAGACAGGGAATGTGAATTCTGGAGAAGAGGAGTGGTTTGAGACTTGGTGGCAGGCTTCAGGGTATGCAGTGGTGTTAGAGTGAGGACGGCGACCACTGAGAGTGTGGGAATCCAGTCCTCCCGGGATTCACCACCAGCATGGTCTGTGGAGTGCGCTTGGCAATGAAGTCTCACTTTCTAGTCATAATTCGCGTCTTCCCCATGTGTGCATGTGTGGAGTACCCCCCCCCCCGCACCAGCAGATGCTTTCTTGAGTGGTTTGGTGATACATTTCAGAAGCCACACAGTGCCCTTGTCCTCTCTTCTAGAAGTTCCCTGGCAAAGAGGCTGCCACAGCCTAACCAGTGCTGGAGATTCAGCCATCACAGAGAACACTGGGAGCTGGGAAGCAACTGAAACGTCTGGGGAGGAGCCAAGGCCAGGGCCGGGGGAAGCCGCCACGGCATGCCCACTTGATGAGTGTGCAACATTAGCTCAGATCGTTATTTACACTGTGGAGCAGCTTGGGAAAAATGAGTGACAGATGCAGATCATCAGCAACCGTGGCTGAATAAGGGCAGGGACAAGGAAAAATGAAAACAGGCACTTTGCGAGGTGGAGTCCCTCTTTAATCATGTATTCCCTAGTTAGAATTGCAGAGCTGTGCCCCTGTCTAACACCAAGCACTTATGCCAACCATAAGCTTATTTCTTCATGTTTGTCTCTCCCTGAACATGGAGAACCAGTGACCTGAGGCCCCTCAGAAAATAGCTGCATAAATACAGTGAAAACTGGCCTTTTGGCCTGTTCTCCTCTTGAAGCCAAACATAACCACTTTTTCGTAGGCCCTATTCCCTGCCTTTTGGTCATCTTGTTTCCTGTCTTGGAACCCTCTGTAGTTTGTAACATCCTTTTGTTGAGCCATATCCTTTGTGGTAACAAGAGCCTTCCCAGGGCCACGGGCACTAAGAAAAGAACAGCCCTCAACTCATGTCACATGGCTACTGGTTTTTTGNAGGTGGAGTCCCTCTTTAATCATGTATTCCCTAGTTAGAATTGCAGAGCTGTGCCCCTGTCCAACACCAAGCACTTATGCCAACCATAAGCTTATTTCTTCATGTTTGTCTCTCCCTGAACATGGAGAACCAGTGACCTGAGGCCCCTCATAAAATAGCTGCATAAACACAGTGAAAACTGGCCTTTTGGCCTGTTCTCCTCTTGAAGCCAAACATAACCACTTTTTTGTAGGCCCTATTCCCTGCCTTTTGGTCATCTTGTTTCCTGTCTTGGAACCCTCTGTAGTTTGTAACATCCTTTTGTTGAGCCATATCCTTTGTGGTAACAAGAGCCTTCCCAGGGCCACGGGCACTAAGAAAAGAACAGCCCTCAACTCATGTCACATGGCTACTGGTTTTTTGTTTGGTTTTTTTTTTTAAAGATGACCGGTGAGGGGATCTCAACCCTTGGCTTGGTGTTGTCAGCACCACGCTCACCGAAGTGAGCCAACCGGCCATCCCTATATAGGATCCGAACCCGTTGCCTTGGTGTTCTCAGCACCGCACTCTCCTGAGTGAGCCATGGGCCGGCCCCTATGGCTACTGTTTTTTTGGATACTCCGAACCCGTGGCCTTGGTGTTCTCAGCACCGCACTCTCCTGAGTGAGCCACGGGCCGGCCCCTATGGCTACTGTTTTTTTGGATACTTTCACAGTAATCCCAGCGGTAATAGCTGTTGAGTTGCGGTTCAGCTCTTGTCCACTAGGACTGCCATAGCTTCTTCCAGCTACTAGGTGTTCCATCAGCACTGAAAATGAGGTGAGGGGATGAGGTTCTCACTCGAAGAGGCAGTAGTTGCTAAAGGAAGTTGTGAAATCTTCTTTCTTACAGATTTTTTAAAACAGGGATGGCTCAGATCTAGGAGACCAACACATCAGGTGGAAAAACTTCTTTTGCTTCTCCCTTTCTCCCTTCCGGCCCCCTTCCTTAACTGGTCAGGTTTCTTAACTTTGGTGCCTGGCAGAAGGTCCCTGGTGAGCCCTAGAGTTCTTGCTGGGCGTGGACTAAACCCTCCATGGGGTGGTCCACAGTGCTGGGGTGGGGTGTGGGACAGGGAGGGTGCTCCAGGGGATGGACTGGCTCTGACTGTGGGGGAAGTGACGGAGGGACCTGGTGCCCATTTGTAGTGTGAAACCCCCGTAGAGCATGTGGTGAGCAGGGCCAGAATGGCGGCAGACATCTCCTACCGCAGAGATAAGCTGCAGCTTCCGGTTCCCTCTATGGGTCTGTTCTTTCATTTAAAAATAATTCCGTGTTCATCAAAGCACAATAAATACATGGATGTAATTAAAAAATTAAGTACTGCTAAAATGCTATGACAACCCCAGCAGCCCCCTGTTCCCCACCCGCTAGGGGCAGCCACTTGGATCTCTCAGCCTCCACGTTTCTAAATACCATGTGGAGGCTGCCCTTCCTCAATGGATCCATTTTAGACATTACCCGCTCAGACTGCACTGAAGATTTGGCTCCCTCGGCCCGGTCTGGCCTGGCCTTCCCGCAGTTTCCCTCCTCACAGGTCTTCATTTATCTCAACATTCCTGGGCTTTAGAGATGCCGGCTTTTGCCTCTGGCTTTTGGTCTCAGCTGAGAGGGGCACCCTGCGTTCTGGATGAGGCTGTCTGGGTGTGCAGCTCTGAGTCTGGGGACCATCAGGAGCCTCAGTTTTTACCTTGTGAAAGGTTAGTTTTTATTTTTTGAAAAACATTTTCATTGTTTTGCAGCTAAGCCACACCTCAGCCCAAGTCCTGTGTCAACAGCAAAGCCACATGCCACCAGACCAGGGAAGAGTGGCCTCTGTCCTGGGTCGTAGTTGGGTGCCACAGCTTCTGTGTCTGGCAAGGTGCCCAGAGGGTGATTCCCCCGCTCCCAGGGCTTCATTACTCTCTTCTGTACTTTTCAGATTTTTCCTCAGTGAGATCTTTAGCTAATCAGAAAAAAGGGAATTGTGAAATATTTAAACAGTGAAGAGGGTGCCTTCTGGTTTTTGAGGGCCAAAACATGGTGAGTCCTGACAACAGGCAAGTCCATGGGTGGCTGAGGCCCCCCTCCTGGCCCACCCCTGCCCTGCCCTGCTCTGCTTCCAAGGTGGCCCTGGTGGGGGTGCAGCCCTGCCCACCTGGCCCTGCCCCACTTCCTCTGCCTCGCAGGTGGCCATGGTGGAGGTGCAGCTGGAGACGCAGTACCAGTACCCGCGGCCGCTGCTTATCGCCTTCAGCGCCTGCACCACAGTGCTGGTGGCCGTGCACCTGTTTGCACTGCTCATCAGCACATGCATCCTGCCCAACGTGGAGGCCGTGAGTAACATCCACAACCTCAACTCCATCAGCGAGTCGCCGCATGAGCGCATGCACCCCTACATCGAGCTGGCCTGGGGCTTCTCCACTGTGCTCGGCATCCTGCTCTTCCTGGCTGAGGTGGTGCTGCTCTGCTGGATCAAGTTCCTCCCCGTGGATGCCAGGCGCCAGCCCGGCTCCCTGCCTGGCCCTGGTGGTCACACGGGCTGGCAGGCGGCCCTGGTGTCCACCATCATCATGGTGCCCGTGGGCCTCATCTTCGTGGTCTTCACCATCCACTTCTACCGCTCACTGGTGCGCCACAAAACCGAGCGCCACAACCGCGAGATCGAGGAGCTGCACAAGCTCAAGGTGCAGCTGGACGGGCACGAGCGCAGCCTGCAGGTGGTGTGACGGCCGGCGGGGCTCCTGGGCCGGGTGGGGCCCTGCAGCCAAGCAAGAGCTTCCTGTCTGTGCTAGGGGATTTCAGAAATGCAGGTGGTTAACCAGGCTGCTAGACACTGCCAGATAGTTCAAGACCAAAGTCTTACTCCTGTCTTAATGCTGTAATAACCTGGATAATTTTCCATCAGAAAATGGAACTCTTCAAACAAGAGACTGTTGCTAAGAGTTTAAGGGGAAAGAAAGGCTGATTCCTCGGCCTTGAGAACTTCCTGGGTCAGGGACAAAGTATAGAGGCTTGAGGGGGATCTGCCCACTGGCACTGCCAGGAAGGGCTCCAAGCAGCACCCAGTGGTCAATGGCAAACTCTACTTGGACACGCATGGCCAGCAGGGTAGGGAGCTGGCAGGGGCAGGGCCGTGAGTTCATAGAAGGGATTGCCCTGGAAGACCTGAGGTGGGCTCATGGCTGCTGGGTAACATGTTTGATGGTGATTGGACAGGACCGTGGCGACTGATGGGTGCAGGATTACAGCCAGGCTTGGTGCTTCCCTCCCCGCCCTGGAGGAGTTGGTGGCCTGGCTTGTGGGGCCTGGGCACACATCGGCTCAGCAGGTATGGTGTGCTGCAGCCGGTGTCAGCGTTGCCAGGCCCTGGAGGAGATTCCCAAGGGTGGGAGGCCAGCCTGGGTCAAAGAGGCATGTCAGTGGGCATCCGTGCAAGACGCCCACCTGAGGAGGCCATTAATTGAGTGGTGCACTAGGTTTAGGTTTTTTCCCAGCCAGCCTGGAGCCCTGGCCACACTGACTCAGTGAGGCCACCAGGGTGGGGAAAGGGCCCTCAGGCAGAGGCCTCCACCTCTTGGCCACAGATGGCCTCTGAGCCTGAGTCAGCCATTCCTCAGAGCTTGCCCAATTCCCTGCTGCCCATGGCCTCAAGTGGTGAGAGGGAACAGCCTGGGGGGCTTCCTGTCTAGATAAGGCCATTGACCCAGGATCCCCCCTTGTTATGACCCCAAGCAACTGCAGGGAAGGCGCAGCCCTAGACAGTGCCCCTTGCTGGGTCCTCCACGCTTCTCAGCTGGATGCAGGTCCCAGCTCACACACTCACACAGCCGTGCTGTGTGGGCACTGGTGTTTCCACTAAGGGCATCTGGTAGACCTGAGCCCACATAATTGGGCCCCATATATACACGCTACAGCATCAGCTGACAGGGAGCTGCTTTTCAAAACCACGTTTACTTGGAGAGGAGGCCTTGTGTTATGTTCCCATAGTCATCAGGCCTCTTCATGTTCTGGTTACATTTTTTGTAACAGCTTAATATCTCTGTGAGGTCTGGGTCGTCTGTGTCATGGAATCCCGGATGGCCTGATTGAAGTCTCTGAGAATGTGACATACTGTTGGAAGCATAAACCTTAACACATAACTCTGAAATGCCGAGTCCCCAGAGTAAGTTGTGACTTCTAAGGAGAGCCTGCGCAGCGTGTCCCATGGGGCTGAAGAGCCCTGTGTCTTCCCGAGGGCAGGGCCCTTGCCTCCCTGCAGACATCTGTCTGTGACTTGCTTGCCCTGCAGCACACATCCGTACTTTCCTGGAGCCTCGTTGAAAAGACTCATCTGGTTTTATATGTAGGCAGGGCCCTTGCCTCCCTGCAGACATCTGTCTGTGACTTGCTTGCCCTGCAGCACACATCTGTACTTTCCTGGAGCCTCGTTGAAAAGACTCATCTGGTTTTATATGTGTTTGCTTTGCTAAAGAACGTCAACATCTCTCCAAAACTGCTGCTTTGTGTCCTGGCTGGGCCAAGACAGGCTTGCTATTCTGAATGAGTGGCTCCCTGCGGCTGGGAGGGGGCAGCAGGCCCTTCCTCTGGCCTGAGCCTTTTCAGAGGGGCCATGCTGGGCCCACTCCTGCTGCGCACTTTCCTGGGCCATCTGGTGCTCCTGCACATGGAGCGCCAAGCTCCCCAGATGGTGGAAAGCTACCCCCAGTGGCAGCCCTGGTCCCTGGGCAGGGTTTTTGGCTTGGCCTGGCCTGGCCTGGCAGCATCAGGGTCTGACGTTAGGTGCCCAGTGATGGCACATACCACGTCCTTAACAGAGAATAACATGCTTGTAATTTCTTGTTCTCTTCCATCCAGAGTGCTCTCCCAGCTCCAGCCTTTCTACTTCCAAGGCAAGAGCAGTTTCTGTGGGAACAGAGATGACCCTGGGGATGGGAAATAGTGACCAGGAGCGGCGACCTCAGGGTTGCCCCAGAGTTTGTCGGGAGATGGACAAGCTGCTGCTGGGAGCTGCAGGGACAGCTCCGCAGGGAAACTTGGGGGATGGGAAAGCAAATTGCAGGAAATTGGGCATCTGAAGGGTTAACCTCACTTGGAAGCATGTTTGAAGATCAGTGGCCTCTGCCGTGGTGAGAGTTGCCCAGTGCCCTGGAGCCGGCGTGGGCTTTGTCTTTGCAGAGCCTTTCTGGTGCTCATCTAATGAGTGCCCTTAGCCACGATCAGGCCTTTCCAGTGTGGAACACGGTCTCCACTTAGTACCTGACCTCAAGTTTCAAAGCCTAAGTGTTTCTAGTTTAGAAACTGTGAAGGCAGAATGTGTTTTAGCATCTTCTAGGAAGGTGTGTTGAGGACCAAACCACATAAGCCTGAGTGGATCAAGGTTCACCTGCAGCCAGCCGTTTCCTGCCTGTGCTCATCGATTATGTATGCATGACATTATGTAGATCACGTGTGGTGTATGTAACCCCTGCCCTGTGTATGGATTTTCACAATGGTTGCCCTGGATTGAACTGAATAAAACAGTAAAGCTATTCAAAGTTCCTTCTGCTCTTAGTGGGGCATTGTGGGTAGAGGGACATGCAGCAGCCCCTGGTCCTTCCCTAGTGTCACTGGTCAGTGCCCTAACAGGCCGCCTGGACGAGGGGGCATGGACTTCTCTAGAATGGAGAGTCACGGTGCTCAGACCCAGACATGCTGTGATGCTCCCACCAGCTGGGGCCCAGAGAGTGTGCTGCTTGGCTGCTTCCCTTCCCAAGCCAGAAACACAGGAAGGGGCAGCCTTCCTCAGCCACCATGTGGGTGGCTGAGTGCCAACATAGCCCATCTACACAGCATTGGTTGGAAGGTCCCCCAGCTCTCCAGGAAAGGAGCCACTAAAGCTCTGGACCCTTCAGGACATTCCCCAACCCCAGGTCCCTGTAGTTGGTGCCCAGGCTGTCCAGCCAGGCAGCAGGACCATGCAGATCCCTGCCACAGCCTGGTGGCACTGATGAGGAAGCACCCATTGTGTTTTGTAACAGTCGCCCACTGAGGTAGAGGCCTCTTTTAGGAAAGAATTTCCGTCCTTTCTTATTATTATTAACTTTCTGGCACCTCAACCTAGCAGCATCTAGGAGTCAGGTGTGCAAAGCAGCTGGCAGCACTACATGGAGAGTCTGGGGCAGTACACGTCTTCTGCCAATCCAGAGGGACCAGGCTGCACCTGCAGCCCAGAAGGGCAGCTTCCCCGGGCTGTACAGAGACCCAGGCCAGCAAGCCCAACATTTTCCAGCCTCACTGAAAGTGGAGGTTATAGTTTCCTTAAAGGAAAAAAAAAAAACAGCAAAAACAAAGACACGAACACCGTTCCCCACTGTGGAGGGCAGGACATGACAGTCACTGTTGCCAACATTTTCCAGCCTCACTGAAAGTGGAGGTTATAGTTTCCTTAAAGGAAAAAAAAAAAAAACAGCAAAAACAAAGACACGAACACCGTTCCCCACTGTGGAGGGCAGGACATGACAGTCACTGTTGGCTCCACGGACCTTTTCTGCTGAGCCCTTCAGGCCCGCCATGCAGAACTCACTCAATGCCCAGAAAACCCAGTGACAGAGACTTTTTTCTTGATGCAGACGCCTCTGGAAGACTGACGGGTAGAATCCACAGAGCCCTGGGTAGGGCCCCGCAGGGCAAGGCTGGGACAGGACAGGGACACCTTGTTGGCTCACTTAGAACCTGCTAAACCCTCTTCCCAGCCCATCTGCTGGCCCACCCATGGTTGCTGTGGAACACAGTGCAGGCAATTCAACGTGAATTTAGGCAGAGAGGATCCCAGAGGATGCTCCATGGGCTGAGCTTAGCCCCCCTCCCACCCCTAGTTGGACCAGCCTGGGTCTCACCACCTGCCACGCTAAACAAATAAGCAGCACCAGGTTTCCTAGACATCCTGCCAAAGCGGCAGGCTGGGCACATCTGCAGAGCCAGCCCTTGGCTTGCTCTGGAATAGGATGCCACAGGCAGCACCACGGAGTGGATGCTTCACCTGAGCACGTTCCCATAGACCGATGCCATCTCCTTGTTTGAGACTTCAAGAGCATCAGAACAGACAACCTAGTCTGCTCAGCACGTGTCTGGTGCTTAAGGAAAGTGTGCTGAAGGAATGTACGAACAGCCACCTGAAAGACGGGGTGAGTAGACGTCATCACCCCTCTGCACCCAGTGATGGCTGCAGGGGACCAATGTACAGTGCAGTGTTCTTGGGAGCCAGGCTGTGGTGTACAGCAGGCACATGGAGCTGACAGTCTTCATAGCTTTCAAGGACAGATTCAACTCTGGTGGTCACCACCCTGACCCCAGAGTTGTTTCCTTGAGTGTGCTCTGCAGGACGGCTGAAAGGCTGGCTGTCAAATGGCCAGCACTGAGTGATACTGGGAAAACAGGTTCATTTGCTGAATGGCTCCCCAGGCCTTAACATGCCTCTCCCCGAGTAAACAGACATTTCCCCAAGCCCTCTGTTGGCACAGCTTGCACAGGCTGCTGCTCTAAGGCCCGGCCTGTCAGGGGCAGAGACTCCCCGGAGGACCCCTCTACAGAGGCCCACCTGGTTGCTCAGAGGCAGCCAGGATCGACTGGAGCTCCGGCTGGCTCTCAGCTGAATGCCCAATGAGGGACCTGTATGGGGGTCATGTTGCTTGGGACGAAGCCAAATAAGCTGACCCAGGGAGTGGCAGTCAAGGTGGCCTGGGAGCCCACCCCTGCCCCTGACTGCTGGGTTCACTCAGACAACATAAACCCAAGCAGCCTCCCCACAGGGTCTTCACAGGTTCTGCAGACCTCACCGGTGGCTCAGCACCTGGGATGCCACATCACAGACAGCACAGGGCAGCCAGCAGCTCGCACACCTGACAGCTCTCCATGGGTCCCGCGAGTGACTATAAAGAGCAGTGCTGACTGGAACCTTTCCGTGGCCTGTTGCCCAGTGAGCCACTCAAGTGTATTTTGTCTCATAAGCAGCAGGAGAGAGTGCTGGTCACGAGGTCCAGACACGCTGCCACTCCCTCAACCTCCCCAGCCTGCTCCTCACCTGGCCACAGGTGTGCCGGGGCAGCGGCCCCATCCAGGTAAGTGCACCACACAGCGTTGGTGCCACTAAGTGAACAACCTCGCAGTGGCCTGGGAGGTGGGGAGCCTTTTTCCCTACTTTTTAACAGCACTGTGGCGGGGTGGGAGGGGACCAGGGTCTCAGATCTTCTGCGCTCATCGCATCCCCCACTCCAAGGGGTCAAGCGTGAACCAGGCTAAGCCTGACACAGAAACTGTCACCAATTCTGAAGTCTGAACTTCAGATCTACC